AATCAAGCGACTGTAGCTTTTTTCCCCCCCAAAAACTTTGTCTTCAAAATAAGAGTGCGTCTTACACACCGGTGCGTCTTATATTCTGAAAAATACGGTAAATTGTATTCCTACTCTAACCTGTATATAATTAAGTTTTATTCCTTCTCTGACTGTACGAAACTGTGTTTTATTCTTTCTCATGAAACTCATATTTCATTTCTACTTCGACTGTATGAAACTCTTGAATTTATCGGTAATAAGCTGAACCAAGGATGAATGGGAAAAATTCGTGATGGTTATAACTATCTATTTTATTCTTTTATTTTAAAAATACAACTTTTAAAGATTTTACAAACTTTATATTAACCTGGAAATAAAACTAAAACAATTGTAAATAAATTAGCTTGAGTTTTAGACTCGTATCCACTGTGTGAACATAATGAAATTATATTATTCTTACAATTATGAACAAACAAATATCAACGTTTTATTGTTTCAAAATACCTTAATTTTTAGAAAAAACAACAACCAACAAAACCTTTTAATTTTCGATGTTAGTTACATGGCGGTGTTTGGTTTGTGTATTGTTCACCATTTGCTAAGACGTAGTTTTGAAATTTGAGATCAGAAGTATATATTGTGATACAAATCATAACACTTTCGAACCTCTGACTTTTTTATATACTTATTAAGAACATTATTAATAAAATTTCAATACCAATTCAACTAAAAATTCGGGTCAATGTTTAGCCTGTTTTACGTTAAGTGCTTATTAAATATTATATTTTGAAATCTCACTTACAGGTATGATTATGAAAAAATTTCTATCAAAGACATACTGAAAATCCTCTTTAGTTTCTTCTGTGTTTATTAATGAGTTAAATAATTAAAAAGACGTTTTCGAGTTAAATTTACGGTGAATACACAAAAAAGTAACTTACAAAAATAGGCAGACTTTCTTCTTCTATAAACTTCGCTAAACTTGAACAATCACTGAAGTTCCATGAGACGACTGTGACGTTTTTGTGTCTGTCGTTTCTTCTAGTCACCATGATGAAAGGAGCTCTAACATTATACTTCCTCCCTCTAGAGGGCAAAATAAACATTAAGCATTTTTCGGAGCGTTATTTTTACATTTTTTTAGGATTTATTTCATTGGTACGTATATTAGTAATGTAATGAACATGCAAAATCGTAGAATTAAATACAAATACGCGCAAACATAAAAAATCTAGAAATAAAAATAAGTGTCAAAAAGCTATAAGATATGAATCAATATTTTCGTTAACCCTTCCATTTCTCGTTTGTTACTTTAAAAAGTTTTAAAAAAATATCCAGACGATTTAACTGGAGAAATAAAGATTAACCACCAGTCTTTTGACGCATGAATTATGAAAAGATAGGGGTTCTAAATACACTTTAAAATGATTTCATCCTTGTTGATAGTTGACAAACACAGACTGTAAAGTTTGATTAACTCATAAACACGATATTTTGGCTGTGTTGCTAAGCGACATGCGCGTTGTTTTAGTTGCACGTGAAAGTATTTCAATACTTAGAAATTAACCATAAAAGGCACAGTGAACACTAACAGTTTGTAAAGATTAACATCTTTATGCACTTACACATCTTCTGCAACATCACCTACTACACTGGCAAATGGAAACTGGCTTCGAAGCTCCTCACCAACTTGCCTGTAGATCCTGAGGGCTGTAAATCAACAGAATATCATTCCAAACCCGAATCATATCACATAGTTTGAGGTAAAAGTAAATTTATTTCGGAAATGGGTTTAACCATATTATCGGACTGGTGTGGTGCTAATTAAAAACACAAACAACAACATCAGTATAGCTAGAGCTTTTTGTTTTGTTTTTAAATACAGAAACTAAGAGCTCAGTTATATGTTTAGTTTATTATTGAAAAATTCTAATCCAATCAAAATACTTCCGAACCCTGTAAATATTTATCATATTTCGGTTCAATCTGATATCTGGTATTTTCAACCTGAGCAGCATGCGACACACGGATTAACTGCCCATTAGAGTAGGGTAACCAGTGAGCAGTTTGTGACACATGGGCTAATTGCTCACTAGAGGAAGGCAGACAGTGTGCATTACACGCCGGCTACTCTTAATAGAATAGCGATATTTATTGTCTTAGGAGACTTTGTTGAATTTTAATTTTGTGTTTGTGAATTCTGTACATTTAATTAAGTTATTGTTAATTATCTATTGGTTTA